TGCTACAAGTGTATGCTAATCCAATTGATTATCGTAATAATGAATTAGATTTAAAATTGTGGTATAGTTACCAGAGCGCGCACGTATGCGCACTCACATGGTGTCGTACACACCGTGCTTCGAACGATATCAGTATTGTACCGGCACGGGCGCACTCGAGAGCTCTCTGTATCTATCTGTACCACATTCCTATAATATTATTATGTAATTCCTAAATAAAGCCTTAAGTAATTAAAATAGAACAATTGTGTTTAATCAATACATTACAATTGGCGACGAGGAATCGACGATCTTACGTAAATTATTTAAAGTTCAATGAGTGAAAGTGGTAATAGTGACGAAGTTGACGAACCAACTAGACAAGAAATTATTCAACAGTTGGAAAGTGCCGGTATACAATATTCAGCAAAAGACTCAACAAAGCGGTTGAAAGGAAAATTAAAAAAAGCAACGGAGAACACACCAAAAGAGGAAAGTAAAAGTGAAGTAAAACCGAGTGAAGTGAACACAGTATCAGCGATGACAACGATAGATTCAAAAGTAAAATTGGAGTTTGAATTGGGCAAAGATGATTGGGAGACGTTTGTGGAAAGATTGGAATTATATTTTTTTGCAAACGGCATTAGTGACGAAAAAAAGCAAGCAGCCATCTTATTGACACGGGTAAGCGCGGACACATACAAACTCGCCAAAAATCTATGTCATCCAGAAAAACTCAAAGATAAAAAGTTCAACGAAGTGTCCAAGCTATTATCAGACCACTTATGCCCAAAGCCGTCGGAAACGATGGAAAGGTGTAAATTTTATGCAGCGCAACAAGGACCCACGGAGAAATTAGCCGATTTCGGAGCGCGATTGAAAGAGCTTTCGCTAAATTGTAATTTCGCTGATCTAGAGACGGCGCTAAGGGATCAATTGGTATGCGGGCTAAAGGATCATGCGTCGAAAGCAGAGCTATTTAAACAAGAGAAGTTAACGTACGCGGGTGCCTACAAGATAGCGCTGGCACGCGAGAAAGCAGAAATGAATGCGACAACAGCAGAAAAATTGAGCGAATCAAACAGGCATGATGATAACATTCATTCGGTAAAAGTTAACGATAACAAGAGCCACAAAAATAAAAGTAATTCGAGTTTAGTGTGCTACTGCTGTGGAAAGCCGAACCATATAGCCCGTAACTGCAAACACAGGCAACAGACATGCCGAAATTGTAAGCGGCAAGGTCATCTAGAAGCAATGTGCCGAAGCCAGAAGAAGAAGATACAGTACCTGCAAACGTCAACACAGAAGGAAGCCAGTAGCAGCGATAACAGCAGCGTCAGTAGCAGCCATGAAGAAGACGAGTCGTACGAGTTCAACAACATTACGAGTAACTGTTATACTACAAATAATGTAACGCATTCCGATGCGGCAACAGCTCCGTGTTATTTAAATCTAGATATTAACGCGATAAAATTTAAGATGGAAGTTGACTCGGGCTCGTTCTGGAGTATTATCTCCGAAGAAACGAGAAATAATTATTTTCGAAACAATAACATATGTAAAATCGCTATAGAAATGAGCGCGTATAACTTAAAAGTAAACCCGGTAGGCATTTTGCGCGGTGTGAATGTGTGTTTTAAAAATAAAATGTACACCTTGGATTTAATGGTTTTACCGGGAAAGGGCTCTTTTGGGTAGGTCATGGTTACATGCTTTTGGATTGTGGCCACTACTAAAGATACACAATATAGTAGATAATCACAATGAACTAAGCACTCGAGTGGTAAAAGACTTTCCAAAATTATTCGGTCAAGGTGTCGGTTGTTTCAATAAAGGAACGGTTAAACTTGCAATAAAAGAAAATACAATACCGAAAGCATGTAAGCTAAGACATGTACCGTTCGCGATAAGAGATAAGATCGAAGCTGAGCTGAAGCGATTAGAAAACTTAGGGCACATAGAACCGGTGCGCACGAGTGAATGGGCAACGCCAATAGTGCCGATAATTAAAAAAGACAAAAGTGTACGCATATGCGGTAATTTTAAGCTCACTGTAAACCCTTGCTTAGTTGTAAACAGACATCCGTTGCCAACAATCAACGATATTTTTGAATGTCTGCAGGGGGGAAAAAAATTCACTCAAATTGATTTGACACATGCCTACATGCAGGTTCCGGTGCACACAGAGTCACGCGACTTGCTAACAATTATAACGCACGTCGGCTTGTTTCGTTATACCAAACTAACGGAGGGCGTGGCTTCGGGCCCGGGGGAATTTCAAAAGATCATGGAAGACTGTCTCCGCGATGTAACGGGGCAGACGGCGGTGTATCTCGATAATATATTTATTACCGGAAAAACCGATGAAGAACACGTGGAAACGCTGTACAAAGTATTACGTGTTCTAGAAAACCACGGGTTTAAAGTAAATGTAAAAAAATGCGATTTTTTAAAAGAGGAATTGGAAATTCTAGGGTTCGTGATTCGGGAAGGGGAACTGTGCACATCGCGAAAGAAAGTAGATGCCATAGTTAAGGCGCCGATACCGGAAAATAAAAAACAACTATTATCATTTTTGGGTCTTGTCACGTATTACGAACGTTTTTTGCCGGATCGCGCATCGAAACTGATACCTTTGTATAACTTAACGAAACAAACTAAATTCGTATGGAATGAAGAGTGCAGCAAAGCGTATGAATGGATAAAAAAAGAGATAGCGTCAGCTAGAGTATTGACAAATTATGATGTAACAAAAGAATTGGTTTTAGCATGTGATGCGTCACAATACGGACTTTCGGCAATACTATCGCACCGCTACCCTAACGGCGACGAAAAACCTATCGCATTTGCTTCGAAGGTAATACCGGTCAAAGAACAAAATAGAGCCATCATTGATAAAGAAGCAGCTGCAATAGTATTCGGCTTTAAAAAATTTTACAATTACGTCTACGGACGCGAAATAATTTTAAAAACAGACCACAAACCATTGGTGTTTATTTTTGGACCAAATCAAGAAATACCTTTTCAGTATACGCGCCCGTTTGAGGCTTATTACGCGCTGGGCATGCTGTGTCGGTAATATACTCGGTTACGGTCGAGCAGCGCCTCGTACTGAAATCATGCCTACTCGACCTGTAATCATGATTATAGGTCGAGGACACGTAGCGCGCTCTGCCGGCGCTCAGACGTTGCGATCGCTGCCTACAACAGCTACGGCCAAAGTTCTATAACCTGTACCAACTATCGTTTGAGACGAACAGACCCAAAACAAGATGAATTTTAATTCGATGTTTGCTGTTTCCACCAGCAATCAAAAAGAAAGCGACAACGAAAGCGACAGTGACAGTGATGAAATACAAAGTGAAGCTGCCCAGGAAATCCAAAGACTAATAGAAAAAGCAAAATCTAATGTCATACCTGAACAATCCAGACCTCTGTATGAAAAGCAGTACATGATCAATAAATTTTTGAGATAATAAAAATATTTTAAATATACATTTTATCACTCCTCCATAAGTGCATTTATGCATAAATTCTTTATTATAGAACTTTTCACAGCTCGCCTTCGGCTCGCGAAAAAATACTTAAAATTAATCACAGCTCGCCTTCGGCTCGCGAAAAAATACTCAAAACTAATCACAGCTCGCCTTCGGTTCGCAAAACCCTCTTCGCATCAAATCTGTATCATTTGCACTGGGCATTATTTTATAGCTCCTCAAAACGTGCGCTTATGCAGAAAAATTTTTTAGACATCAATGGCTGGTGTAGCGGTGTGATTAGGTCTCGTCGTGTTTGCAGCGTTGGGGACGCCGTAGTGCCTCGGCCGCACGCGGCCTCGGCGCCTACAGCGCCCCAAAGCTGCAAACACAACTCGACCGTAATCACACCACTACCAGCCCTTGATGTGTAAATAACTAATANCAAAATGATAAAGTCAGGTAAAAACCTCAACGAAGCGATAAACAAATTTTTGTTAGACTACCGCAGTACAGATCATTGTTCAACAGGTCGATCGCCGGCGTTTATGTTATTTAAACGCGAATTGCGAACGAAATTAGATAGCGTCCGTCCGAACATGTCCGATGAGGTGGAAGAGTCGCGATTGCGCCAGGCGCTCAGTCGCGGGGGATCTCGTAGGGTTCAATTTGCCGAGGGGGAAAGAGTCTGGGTAGACGACTACTCATCTACACAAAAAAAGAAAACCCAAGCGATAATCACATCGCAGTTATCTCCGGTAAATTTTGAAGTCGAAGTGTCACCAGGAAAGCGCTTTAAACGACATGTCGACCAAATGTTGAAATGTAAAACCGATAACGATATAAATAATAGAACACAAGAGACACCTCGGGTCAAAATACCGGAAACTCGACGAGTATCTCAAAGATTGGCGAATAAACGGTTACCAAAGTAACCATCATGTAATTCTATTCTTATTCTCCGAAAGGGGGAAGAAATTGTGGTATAGTCACCAGAGCGCGCACGTATGCGCACTCACATGGTGTCGTACACACCGTGCTCCGAACGATATCAGTATTGTACCGGCACGGGCGCACTCGAGAGCTCTCTGTATCTATCTGTACCACATTCTTATGTAATTCCTAAATAAAGCCTTAAGTAATTAAAATAGAACAATTGTGTTTAATCAATACATTACAGCTTGTATTAATTATACAGGGTGGGAAGCAATCTAAATAGCTTGCAAAGTAAGGGCATCAAAAACCTTATGTCCAACGTATTTTTTACTGGGAATAAAATGGTGACGTTGAATTTGACCTTGAACATAACCTCAAAGCTCCAGCTGTGGAACCCCCATTTTTTTTGTACATTAGAAGAGAGCGGACAATTTTTCATTCGAATGTGCCCTTTGTTTTTTTCCAAGGCGTTCAATACGTAATAAGTGTGAACTTAGCACAGTTTAATAAAAGTACGTACAATACTTGGATCAAAAAGTTCTATATCCATAAATGGGGAATTTTTTGCCAAACTATCGTGAACTCTCGCTACACTCGGACTTCAAACTAACACTCGCACAAGATAGACGTCAGCGATTGAAGATCGGCTGTAACTAACACTAAGTTGGTCCCTTGAACATTTTTAAAACCGAGTTTCACCGTAGCTCTTATTATACAAAGTATGAAAAAAATATAAATATTTACCACTTTCTTGCTTATTTTCAGAAGTTTCTGTGCTAGGAGTAGCGTTAGATGATGGTGATCTTGGATTAAATGAAACTGCTGGAGTCATTCGGTTACTATTATAAGGTCTATTCATTGATCCGAGTAAAGTTCCTAAGCCACTTATGTGACCAACTCCTCCAAATAACTGCATTAATTGCTGCTGCGACATGTTATTCAGTAAATTCTGCAAATCTCCTTCTGGATTAGTAGAACTGGTCCTTTGAGAATTGAGCGTAGGAGGATTATTCAAGATATCATTAATTTTCTTGCACCTTTCTTCATCCATGTCGGTTTTAGCATCCTATCATCAAAATTTAAAATTTTAATCATCCTATCATTAAAAACAATTGAAGTTAAAATTAAAAGTAAATAAGTATTTATAGATCTTTATAGATCGAGAATTATAGATCTCTACAGCGTGAATACATCTTATATTCTTCAAATGAACAAGTATTTATGACACAGTGAACACGAAACAGTACACTGAAAAAATTTTGCACTGAATTAGTGTTCACTTTGGTCTTTTATTGATATCACACTATAGTGTCTTAACTTTAGATTCAACAGTTAACTTGTAAAAAGTTCACGACGATGGTGACAGGGATTTAGGTTCACGGTGAACGCGATTATCAAGCACTTTTTGTTGTCGGGGCGATTGGACTATATTTGAGTAAAATCTTACATAAACGAGCCTATTTTCTTTATACGTTCGAATAATATTGTAAAAACTTTGTTATTTAAAAAAAAAGATATTTTTGCGAAAGAAAAAATATTTCCCGATTTTTTTGACATTTGTTGCTTTTTCGTCCGACACATCATTATCGAATTAAAGGTCAATGTAAACTCAAAACTATCACGTTTTGTCATTGTTAGGGCTGTGCGAGTATCCGATTTTTCGAGTTTTACTCGACTCGAACTCGACTCGCCGAGTTCGAGTCGAGTTCGAGTCGAGTCGGGAAAATTCGAGTACTCGAGTTTTTTCGAATACTCGATTTTCTCTCGAGTACTCGAGTTTTTTCGGGTACTCGAATTTTTTCGAATAATCGATTCTTTTCGAGTACTCGCAATGTATTTAAATTTTAAGTAAATAAATGGTGAATCAACAGTCTCTAGACGTACACACGTACACACAAAAGGAGGGGTCTAGAGACTGTTAATTCATCATTTATTCACTTAAAACTTGAATATATTGCGAGTATTCGAAAAAACTCGATTACTCGAAAAAACTCGAGTACCCGAAAAAACTCGAGTACTCGACAAAAACGCGAGTACCCGAAAAAACTCGAGTACTCAAAAAATCGAGTACTCGACTCGAACTCGAACTCGACGGGTCGAGTTTTTTCGAGTACTCGCACAGCCCTAGTCATTGTTCACAAAAATATCCTTATTAAACTTGATAAAATTAATCTCAAAAGTTTTGTTATGAAGGAAATAAATACCCATTTTTTGATATTTATTATTGTTTCTTAGTTATTACGGTTTAAAAAATTGAAATGTTACGGAACGTAACGTAACTTTCACGAATAAAGATCCAATAGTTATTTACATACCAAGGGCGAGAAGCTTCTAAGCCCTTGGTATATAAAAATTTTTTCTGCCTTAGCGCACGTTTCGAGCGCTCCTCGACTGTACGCCCATCTCCTCGACTTGTATTCAATGATTTCAGTGCGAGGAGAAGCCCAAATCTTCTGGACCATACTCGCATTCATTACTGAATACTGAGCACGCTCAGCGCGTAATCAGCCTCAACTGACATGCTCATTATCGATAACGCAATTTACCGTCACGCGTGAAGCCAAATTCTTGTCACAGTGACAAATGATTCCGTTCAAAATATTAGTATACTGTTTCTGTATAATATTTTTCGGGTTTTTTCGGGTACTCGCGTTTTTGTCGAGTACTCGAGTTTTTTCGG